CTCCTCCTCCTCCTCCTCCTCCTCCTCCTCCTCATCCCTCCTCCTCCCTTGCGTGGTGGACCCCTCCCGGGGCCCACACGCACCAAGTCGTCCGAGCTGCGTCCAGCCGTGGCGACGCGGGACCTCCCCGAAGGCCAAGCACCCGTGCCTCGGCTACGCCCGGCCTCTGATGCGCGCCCTCTCGCGCGGGGAGCCCGCGTGCGCGAGCGTCGGCGCAGGCGGCCCCACTGCAGGCCATCGCTCGGACGTCCGTTCCATGTGCATTCGGGGATCTTCTGACCCGGGTCAATCCAGACCCGGGTCAGCAGGAAACTAAAAAAGGCAATGCAGAGAGAAAAAAAAACTGCAACGCAGGTCTTCGCAAACACGGGTCAACCAATATGCGCGGCCGCCTCGCGACCACGAGCGGCTCGCTAACCCGGGGATCCTGCAGGATCCGGTGCCCTGGCTGAACCCAGTTTGCACTGACCCCCGTCTCTTAGGCCCCGATGCATGTTTCGGTCTCGTGCGCCATGTTTGTTGGCCCGATGATCCAAGATGCTCCTCGATGGTCCTCGCCGACCAACAAGCTACACACGTCCGAGCGATGCCAAGAAGGTTTCCGCTTCCGTGGCTCGGCGCTGCGGCTCCTCCTCGTCCAGCCACCCGCGCGTGCGGCAGCTCTGCTCCGCGCGCTGCAGCGCCTGCTGGCCCGTCCTCCGCTGCTGGCGGCTGCTCCAGGAAGCCTTGTGCTGCTTCTTCCAGCCGCGCTTGGAGGCCCTCGGGTCGAAGCCCTCAGCCGCGCCCTCGTCCTTCGGGGAGAGATACGATTCGGGTTCGGGAGGCTCGGGCTGGCCTGACGGGACCGTCAGGAGGATGGCGAGACCCAACCTGGAATTCGGCGCGAGCTCCTGCTATGGACGTCCCACAAAAATGGGCCGCCAAAACTCGGGAGGGACCCGTCGAAAGGCATCGGCAGGCCCAGGTTCCAGCGACCTCGAGTCTTGCGTTTCCCAGATTCCTCGGGGGCGCCTTGCCCGCGGCAACGCAGGGGAAGGGTGGTGAGGGCGGGAGAGGTGCGCAGAGCCTGAGGGGGAAGAGGGAGGGCAGGGGAAGAAGGAGCAAGGGCAATGGGCTCTGTATGATCTCCTGAGCAAGCCTGCCAAGCCCCGAGGAGGGCATGCTCGACGAGAGATCGACGAAGGGTTAAGCGAGGGCACCATGACCGTCGGTGGGCCTGTCCGAGGCAAGAGCACCGTGGGGAGCAGCCCGAGCACCGGGCACGAAAAGACCCTAGAGGCGGCCCCCCACTGCACTCAAGGCTCGAGGGTCGAGGTTCGAGGATCGAAGATCGAGGCTCTACACGCAAGGTTCGCGAGTCGAGATTCGAGGATCGAGGGTCGAGGCTCTATACTCAAGGCTCGAGGGTCGAGGTTCGAGGATCGAGGGTCGAGGCTCTAAACTCAAGGTTCGAGGGTCAAAGTTCGAGGATCGAGAGTCGAGGCTCTACGTTTCTGGCCGGTCGTGGCCCCTCTGAGGCCTCCGAAGCCTCCGGGAGCTGCTGGAGGCACACCCCGCTCTCCCTCCTCGCCACCAGCAGAACAAGAAGAAACTCAGTCGGTGTGAGTGTTCGAAGGCCCGCGCAGGTGTCTTGCACCGGCAGGGGGGGAGAGCAAGGGGCGTTCGGTGGGAGCATCTGCCGTGCGCCGGCCTGCGTCGGCGGAGCACGAGGGCACGGCGGCCTCACGGGCTGGCGCACGCAGGCCACTTGCGAGGCATCCAGTCGAGGTTGACTGGAGAGGACACGCGAGAAGACTTAAGACCCTTCTGAAGGCCACATTGCCATGGGAATGCAGGGGGCACGGGTCGCGAAACACAGGGCACAAGGGTACCCTTCGACTTGGCAGGGTCGACCTGCTAATCAGCCTCGACCGTACCACGTGGATTGAGGCCTCCCAGGTGGGGTCCGAGTAGATGGGGTCGGAGGATCGCGCCGCCCATGCATCGCCAAAGCATCAGCGCCGTCGGAGCGGACAAAGTTGGGCTCCACATCGAGCCGCATCGCCGATGCATCGGCGTTGCGGCGCGATCCTCCAACCCCATCTGTTCGGACCTCATTTGGGAGGCCCGGAGCGCAGCGGGGCGCTTGCGCGCGACCGTACGCGGGCAGATAGCGCGTGAATGCCTGCGCAGTCGACCCCACTTGCGCACGATGCTCAAGGCAGGTTCGTGGCGTGACGAATTCGACATTGGTCTCTGGCACCGCGTAGAACGCCCTACGACGCGCTGGGGTCGCCGCCGCATCGGCACGACACGAACCTGCCGTTCGCTGCTGTGACGGCCTCCTGCTGCGCGGAGCGGATTCGGTCGCGCAGGACGCCACATCCGTCCTGCCGGGACAACCACTCCGCCCTGCACTTGTGGGACGACGCCATCGATGAGTGCAGAGCGGTGCCCCTACAAGAGCACATCCACATCCCCTCCCTCCAGACTCCTCCAGAGGCCTCCGAGGACCAAAACAGACAAAAAACAGCTCAGCCGCCAAAAACTCGACCCTCGATCCGCGAAGAGTGCCTGCCGGAGCAGTCCACCAGCCTCAGAGCAAAGCTCTGGCCGCAGAAGCTGAGCCCAGGACTCAGTTCCTTGCCGATCCCTTCCCCCCGTCCCCCAGCGAGGGCGGGGATCAAAGGAAGCCAGGGCGGAGGGGGAGGGCGTGTGAGAGGTAGGCGGTTGCAGGACTACCTTCATCAACGGGTAGCAGCAGCGTGTGAGAGGAGCAGAAGGAGGGGAGGGAGGACGACGGGCAAGGAGAGGAGGGGAGGGAGGAGGGGAAGGTTGGGGGGAAAGAGAGAGAAAGAGGGGAGGAGGACTATGAGGAGGAAGGAAATGAGTAGGAGAAGAGGTGGGGAGGAGGAGAAAGAGCAGGAGAGGGAGGATGAGGAGCGGAAGGAGGGGTGGAGTGGAGGGGGGAGGGCGTAGGAGGAGGAGGATGAAGAAGAATCGTAAGAAGAAGAAGAAGAAGCAGAAGAAGAAGAAGAAGGGGAATACGAAGAACAAGAGTACTCATAAAAATAAGAAGAATAATAATAAGAAGAAGAAGAGAGGTATGAGCGGGAGGGGAGCGGAAAAGAAACAACAGTAGGAGGAGGCAGACTCATTCACAAATTCACATGGCGCGCCCTCCTTCTCGTCGTCGTCGGCGGTGGCCCCGGAGCAGCGGAACGGCCTGGCGTCCTGGGAGGTCCACGCGACGCCCGCCAGTCCACTCCCCCCTCCATCGAGGGAGAGGAAGGGGAGGGAGGGAGGGAGGGAGGGGAAGGAGGGAGGGAGGCAGGGAGGAAAGGGGAAGAAGACGAAGAAAAGAGAATGGAGGAGAGGAGAGGAAGAGGTGGGGGAAGGCTGGACTGGTAGCCGTGACGAGAGCAGTCCGCGTCCTGCTTGCCGGGGCCCCCGGCGCCTGGCGGGGGAGGCATCAAAATCGGCACGGCGGCCCAGGAAGAGGAGAGGAGTACTGCATGTTATGGAAAGCGTTACCCCGGCCACCTCTCCTGCCAACCCACCCCTGCTAACCCACCCCGGCCGACCCTCTGGCCAACCTGGCCAACCCAGCCAACCTGGCCCCGCCAACCCTCAGGTCAACCCCAACCAACCCTCCAGCCAACCCTGGCCAAGCCTCCTGGCCAACCCCTCCAGCCCTCTGGGAGTGAGAGGTTAGCGTTTACTCCGCCATTTTCCCCTTCTTCCCCTTCAGGGAGGAGTTTACAGGGAGGAGTTTACCCTCCCCCTGCCCCTCCCATTGGTCTGGAGGGGAGGGGGCGCGACCGATTGGAGCGTCCAAGAAGGTATCGGATAGAATGCAAAAATCATTGATTTCACCTAGTTTTTGAATCCATTTTGACCGAGAGGAGGGGGGGGCAAATTAACTACCCCCCCTCGTTGGTCGAACTCCTCCAAAATGGCCCCAAGATCCGCCCCGAAGCTCCCAGGGGTGCCCCACGAGGGCCCCAAGAGGCAACCAGGAGGCCCCAAAAAGCCCACTAGCGGTCCCCAAGAGGCATGATCATCATCATCATCATCATCATCATCATCATCATCATCATCATCAGCAGCAGCAGCAGCAGCATCAGCAGCATCAGCATCATCATCAGCAGCATCATCATCAGCAGCATCATCTGCATCATCAGCATCAGCAGCATCATCAACATCGTCATCATCATCATCATCATCATCATCATCATCATCATCATCATCCTCATCATCACCACCATCTTCTTCACCATCATCATCATCAGCAGCATCAGCATCAGCATCAGCAGAAGCAGCATCGGCATCATCACCCTCATCATCATCAGCACCACCATCATCATCGCATCATCAGCATCATCATCATCAACGTCAGCATCGTCATCGTCATAATAATCTGTATCATCATAATCAGCATCATCAGCAGCAGCAGCAACGTCATCATCATCGTCATCATCATCAGCATCATCAGCAGCAGCAGCATCATTATCATCAGCATCATCAGCATCAGCATCATCATCAGCATCTTCATCAGGATCTGCATCATCAGCAATCATCATCAGCATCATCACCATCATTACCATCATCAACATCATCAGCAGCAGCATCATCACCACGTTCAGCAGCACCATCATCATCATCATCATCGTCGTCGTCGTCGTCCTCATCAGCATCATCAGCATCATCAGCAGCATCATCGCATCATCACCATCAGCATCACCGACAGCAGCACAATCATCATAATCAGCATCATCAGCATCATCATCAGCATCAGCATCATCAGCAGCATCATCAGCATCATCACCATCACCATCACCATTATCATCATCAACCTGTGTGGTGTGTGTTGTGTGTTGTGCTGCGTGTGTTGTGAGAGTTGCGTGTTGCGTGTGGTGTGTGATGTGTGTGTGGTGTGTGGCTGTGTACTCTTGTGTGGTTGTGTGGGCTTGTGTGTTTTGTGTTTTTGTTTGGGATTGTGTGTGTTGTGTGGTGTATGTTCTGTAATGTGTGATCTGTGCGTTCAGTGTGTGTGTGTGGTGTGTACTCTGTGTGTTGCGTGTTGCGGGTAGTGTGTGCGCTGTGTGTGGTGTGTGGTGTGTGTTGTGTGGGTGTGTGTGTGTGTTGTGTGTGTTGTGTGTTGTGAGTTGCGTGTATTGTGTGCTGTTTGCGTTGTGTGGTGTGTGTTGTGTGTGTTGTGTGTGGGTGTGCGGGTTTGGGTGTGGGTGCGGGTGTGGGTGTGGATATGGGCGTGTGTGTGTAGGTATGGGGGTGGGCGTGGGTGTGGGTGTCGGTGTGGGTGTGGGCGTGTCCGTGTGCGTGTGCGCGCACGTGTGCGTGTGCCGTTGGGTGTGCGTGTGCGTGTGCGCGTACGTGCGCGTGCGTGCGCGTGCGTGCGCGTTCGCGTGTGCGTGTGCGCGCGTGCGCGAGTGCGGGCGTGCGCGCGTGCGCGTGTGCCCACGTGCGCGTGCGCGTGTGCGCGTGCGAGCGTGTGCGTGTGTGCGCGTATGCGCGTGTGCGAGTGTGCGCGTGTGCGCGTGTGCGCGTGTGCGCGTGTGCTGGTGTGCGGGTGTGCTCGTGTGCACGTGTGCGCGTGTGTGCGTGTGTGCGCGCGTGTGTGCGTGACTGCGTGTGTCCGTGTGTGCGTGTGTGCGTGTGTGCGCGCGTGCGTGTGAGCGCGTGTGCGTGCGTGCGCGCGTAGGCGTTTGCGCGTGTGCGCGTGTGCGCGTGTGCGCGTGTGCGCGTGTGCGCGTGTTGCGCGTGTGCGCGTGCTGCGCGTGTTGCGCGTGCGCGTGTGCGCTTGTGCGCGTGTGCGCGTGTGCGCGTGTGCGCGTGTGCGCGTGCGCGCGTGCGCGCGTGTGTGCGTGTGTGCGTGTGCGCGTGCTGCGCGTGTTGCACGTGGTGCGCCTGTGCGCGTGTGCGCATGTGCGCGTGTGCGCGTGTGCGCGTGTGCGCTTGTGCGCGTGTGCGTGTGCGCGTGGGTGTGTGTGTGTGCGTGTGTGCTTGAGTAGGTGTGTGTGTGGGTGTGTATAGGTGTCTGCAGGTGTGTAGGTGTGTAGGGGTGTGTATGTGCGTGTGTGCGTGTGTGTGTGCGTGCGCGCGTGTGTCCGTGTGATCGTGTGATCGGGTGTGCGTGTGTGCGTGTGCGGGTGTGTGCGTGTGTGCGTGTGTGCTTGTGTGTGCGTGCGTGCGCGTGTTCGCGTGTGCGCGTGTGCGTGTGTGCGTGTGTGCGTGTGTGCGTGTGTGCGTGTGAGCGCGTGTGCGTGTGCGCGTGCGCGTGTGCGTGTGTGTGTGTGTGTGTGTGCGTGTGCGTGTGTGCGTGTGTGCGTGTGTGCGTGTGCACGTGTGCGTATGTGCATGTGTGCGTGTATGCGTGGATGCGTGTGTGCGTGTGTGTGCGCGTGTTGTGTGTATGTGGGTGTCTGTGCGTGTCTGTGTGCATATATGTGTGTGCGTATGTTTGTGGATGGTGGGTTCTGGTGTGTGTGTGGTGCGTGTGGTGTGCGCGTTGTGCGTGGTGGGTGTTGGGTATGTGTTGTCAGTGTTGTGTGCGCTGTGTGTCGTGTCTGTGTGGTGGTGTGTGTGGGTGTGCATGTGGGAGTGGGTGTGGGTTTGGGTGTGTGCGTGCGTGCGTGCGTGCGTGGGTGTGTGTGCGCGTGCGTGCAACAATGCGTGCGTGCGTGCGTGTGTGCTGCGCGTGTGCGTGTGTGCGCGCGTACGTGTGCGCGCGTGTGTGTGTGTGCGAGTGTGCGCATGTGCGTGTGTGCGTGTGTGTGCGTGTGCGCGTGTGCGCGTTCGCGCGTGTGCGCGTGTGCGCGGGCGCGCGTGTGCGAGTGTAGACGTGTGCGCGTGTGCGCGTGTGCGCGTGTGCGTGTGGGCGCGTGTGCGTGTGTGCGTGGTGCGTGTGTGCGTGAGTGCGCGTGTGCGTGTGTGCGTGCGGCGTGTGTGCGCGCGCGCGTGCGCGTGTGAACGCGTGTGCGCGTGTGCGCGTGCTGCGCGTGTTGCGCGTGTGCGTGTGTGCGTGTGTGCGCGTGTGCGTGTGAGCGCGTGTGCGCGTGTGCGCGTGTGCGCGTTTGCGCGTGTGCGCGTGTGCACGTGTTTGCGTGCTGCGCGTGTTGCGCGTGTATGCGTGTGCGCGTGTGCGCGTGCGCGTGTGCGCGAGTGCGCGCGTGCGCGTGTGCGCGTGTGCGCGTGTGCGCGTGTGCACGTGTGTGCGTGTGCGCGTGCTGCGCGTGTTGCGCGTGTTGCGCGTGTTGCGCGTGTTGCGCGTGTTGCGCCTGTGCGCGTGTGCGCGTGTGCGCGTGTGCGCGTGTGCGCGTGTGCGCTTGTGTGTGTGTGTGCGCTTGTGTGTGTGCGTGTGTGCTTGAGTAGGTGTGTGTGTGTGGGTGTGTAGGTGTGTGCAGGTGTGTAGGTGTGTAGGGGTGTGTAAGTGTGTGTGGGAGTGTGTAGGTGTGTGAAGGTGCGTGTTGGCGTGAATAGGCGTGTGTAAGTGTGTTTGTGTGCAGGTGAATGAAGGTGTGTGAGTGGGGGTGTGTAGGTGTGTGTAGGCGTGCAGGAGTAAGTGTAGGTGTTGGCTTGGTGTGTGCAGGTGTGTAGGTGTGTGTAGGTGAGTGTAGGTGTGTGTAGGTGCGTGTAGGTGTGTAAGTGTGTGTATCGGTGTAGGTGTAGATGTAGGTGTAGGTGTGTATATATATGTGTATATATATATATACATATATGTGTAGGTGTGTGTAGGCGTATGTGTGTAAGTGTAGGTGCGTGTAGGTGTAGGTGTGTGTAGGTGTAGGTGCAGGCGGGTGTACGTGTAGGTGTAGGTGTGTAGGTGTAGGTGCAGGTGTAGGTGTAGGTGCAGGTGTAGGTGTAGGTGCAGGTGTAGGTTTAGGCGCTGGTGTAGGTGCAGGCGTGGGCGTGGGCGTGGGTGGGTGTGGGTGTGGGTGTGGGTCAAGCTAGCCAGCTCGAGCGAGTCAAGCATGGCATGCCCATTCCCACCCGCCCTCCCACAACATAAGAAACAATGATGGCACAACTGGGGGCTGCGCGGGCATTTCAGCGCGGGGGGGGAGGGGGGTGTGCCGCGCCCAATTCTTGCCATGCACTTTTGCGAACTGGACGACAAGAACAGCGAAGTGGGCAGGGAAAATCAGCACGGCATTGTTTCTGACAAGTAAGGTGGCCCCTCCCGCCTTGGGGTTGCCCCAGAAGTCCGCGCGCGATGTGCGCCGCGCCCCATTCCTGCCACGCATTTCGCATCGTCGACGACAAGACAGGCCATGATGAAAGGAAAAACGGCAAATCTGTATTGTTGCTTACAGTCAGGATGAGAGGGCCCGCAGCCCGCATGGACGTCCGCGCGCTATGTGCGCCGCGTCCCATTCCTGCCACATATTTCGCACCGTTGGCGGCAAGGCAGGCCATGCTGAGAGGAAACAACGGAGACTTTGTATTTATTTGTTTTACAGTCAGGATGGGCGGCCCGGATTGACGGCCGCGCGCGATGTGCGCCGCGTCCCATATGTGCGCCGCGTCCCACTGCTGCCACATAATTCGCACCGTCGGCGACAATGCAGGCCATGCTGAGAGGAAAAAACGAAGACTTGGTATTGATTTTTTACAGTCAGAATGGGCGGGCCCAGATTGACTGCCGCGCGAGATGTGCGCCGCGTCCCATTCCTGCCACGCTTTTCGCATCGTCGACGACAAGAAAGACGACGCGTTGAGAAGAAAAACGGCCACTTTGTATTGATTTTTTACAGTCCGGATGGGAGGTCCCGGATTGGGTTGCTATCGGCCGGAATACGAGGTAGGTGGGGGTATATAATGATGAGGAACAAGGATGTGGGTGTGGGTGTGTCGGTGTGGGTGTGGGTGTGGGTGTGTGGGTGTGGGTGTGGGTGTGGGTGTGGGTGTGGGTGTGGGTGTGGGTGTGGATGTGGGTGTGGGTGTGGGTGTGGGTGTGGGTGTGTGTGGGGGTGTGGGGTGTGTGGGGTTGGGCTGGGGGTTGGGGGATGGGGTGGGGGTGTGGGTGTGGGGATGAGGTTCTGGGTGTGGGTGTGGGTGGTTGTGGTTGTGGGTGTGGCTGTGGGTGTGAGTGTTGGTGTGGGTGTGGGTGTGGGTGTGGGTGTGGGTGCTGGTGTGGATGTGCGTGTGGGTGTGTGTGTGTGGGTGCGGGTGTGGGTGTGGGTGTGGGTGGTGTGTGGTTGTGGTTGTAGGTGTGTCTGTGTGTCTGTGTGTGCGTTTGTGCATGCGGATGGGTGTGCGTGCGTGTGTGCTTGTGTGAGCTTGTGTGTGTGGTTGTATGTGTGTTTGTGGGTTTGGTTGTGTCTGTGTGCATGTAACTATGTCTGTCTGTCTGTCGGTCTGCCTGCCTGTGTGTCTGTCTCTGCCTGTCTGCCTGTCTGTCCGTCGGTCTGTCCTTGTGTGCGTGTGTGTGCGTGTGTGCGTGTGTGCGTGTGTGTGTGTGTGTGCGTGCGTGCGTGCGTGCGCGCGTGCGTGTGTGTGTGTTGCGTGTGTGTGATTGTGCATGTGTCTGTGTGTGTGTGTCTCTGTGTGTGGTGTGTGTGGTGTGTGTGTGTGTGGGTGTGGGTGTGGGTGTGCGTGCTTGTGTTGGTGTGTGTGTCGTGCGTGCGTGTGCGCGTGTGTCCGTGCGCGTGTATGTGTGTGTGTGTGGTTGTGTTTGTGTGTGTTTGTGTGTGTGTCTGTGTGTATGTGTGGTGAGTGGGCACGGTGGTGTGTGTGGGTGTGCGCGTGTGTGTGTGTGTGCATGTGTGCATGTGTGTGTTTGTGTTTTTTTCCCTGACGGTTCCGTGATCGGGTCGGTCCCCCATGCACGAACCACGACGTCCAAGATAAGGTACAACAACTTTCAGCACGTGAATTGACACGAACTGCTAAATGAGACGACGTCGTACGTGTTGTGACAAACCTTCTCCAGGACTATAAGTAAGCCAAACTTTGGCCACGGAAAGGCTGTTCGTCCAGAACGGACCTTAGCCAGCATGGACACCAAAACCGCCTTCTTGAGCGGACTCACATGCAAAGCGCTGGCAAGGGCGACTGTTGATATGAACGCATGCTTTGCTCGACACTACCGCCAGAGACTGCTAGACTGTACAAGCATGGGCGTGAACAAGCACATGTTGCGTCGTCTGAATTTGCGACGCACCGAAATCTGCGCATGAACGTACAAGCGCCAATGTGGCACTATGTGCACCTGCAAAGCCCGTAGGCGCGACCAAGCCCACAGGATAACTGGCGCCCACAGTTCGTGTGGGGCCTGTGCTCTGTCGGCAATGCTGCCGTACATTTGGTAAGTGCAAGGTATTCGAAAGACGCACCGACCTTAGATGCTGACTACAGGCCTACGACAGCACAATGCCATTCACATCAAGCATTATCTTGGACAGACGCACTTGAAGCTGAGAAACACCATCGGGACCATGTGCACTCGCAATGGCATAGCTGGAAGGACAGCCAGGCACATACTGGTACACAATGACCCCCTCATCGCCGTTCCAGAGGATGTTCGCCGCACGTAAGGACTCGAAGATACTCTCGATGGAAGGTCCGTGTAAAGGAACCGTCCACGATCCTGTGAACACGGTCAACGGTTTCTCTGAAATGCTGGCCCACAACCGGACGGCGAAGTTCCCATTCGGGCGTCCCATGTTGATGTCCACGATGACTGCGTCTCCACCCTTGTCAAGGACAAAGTCGAGGCCCCAATTACTTGTCATACCCCAAGTCTTGTTGATCTCCTGGGAAGCTGTCACGCAAGCGCTGAAGAGGTCCTCACCTTGCAACATGGATGGGAACCTGTTTCCCAGATTGGTGGCGCAGTCGTCTGCAAGTACTTGATCGGCAAGGGGCCCACAAGGTGTGTCCCCGATCATGTAGAGTGTTGGGGACTGCGGGATGTCAAGGCCGATAATCATCTCCTCCAGGATCGCTGAGCCCCCAGACGAGCCGAACACGAAGGCGTCTAAATGGGCCTCCGTTGCATCAAGCACGACGCCGCAGCCCCCAGAACCCGCCGCTGGCTTCAGCACGAACTTCGTCCCAGCGGGGCACTCCCGACGAAGCTGCACCAAAGCCTCTCGCAACTCATCGACGTTGTAGGCCACGAAGCCCCTTGGCCCCCGGACTCGGCCTCCGAGGGCAGAGAGCACAGTGCGCAGGCAAGAGCTGTCACGGGCACCGACGTGCGGGTGGAGCCAGGCCTTGGCCGCGTTCAGGGGCATGAGCCTGTGATCCTCGGGGTCCCCAATCATCGGCATGTTGAAGGTCGTGGCTTCCTGCGCGATCTCAGGAAGCCAGTACATCGGATAGAACACCACATTACGGGAGCCGGCCAGCTGCGCCAAGACCTCCCTGCAGACTGCCAGGGCAGGATCGTCGGAGGCGCTGGGTCCTTCGAGCCTCGGGTGGAACCACACGGCCTGATCGGAGACCAGTCCGTGCGCCTCGCTCCAGCAGCCCCAGAGCTCCTCGACCTCGGGCAGCAGCGGGAGCGCAACGAAGTCCACCCTCGGCCGCACCGCGGGAAGGCACCGCGTCGTCCGCTCGGCGAGCTCCGTCCGGACCCAAGAGCGGGAGCGGGGCCACCACCCGAAGAGGACGGCCGACCCCGACTCGCGAAGGAGCGGCCCGTACAGGCCGTCCTGCGCGTCGTGCAGGGCGGGCAGGGAGCTCACCGACAGCGTCTGGGCCTCGAAATGCGTGGACGCGTCGCTCTTGATGGAGCAGCCACTGGGGCAGGCGGTGGTGTCCTGCATGGCTGAGAAATGCAAGTGCCAATTATCAGTCAGCGCGGGAGAATCGCAGCTGCAGCTTGCAGACAAAACTTTAACCAAAACGGCTCCGAAAATACAGAGGGGGTCCTGGGGGGGGTCACGAGGGCTGTAAACCTCCAACAAGGGGGCACCCTTCCCTGGGAGAAGCTTTCCCCTCAACGTCTTGCCTCTCAAACGCCTCGAACTCACTTGTGCCACGGTCGGTCCCAGAGGGCCCTGAAACAGCCCAAGATCGTTCCAAGACGGCCCAAGATACCCTCAAGAAGGCCTCAGAAGCCCCACAAACGTCGCAAGAGGACCCCAAGAAGAGCTCGAAGGGCCCCAAGAGGCGAAAAAATTAACGATGTTCATGTCGTTTTTCCCTGCCGTCCTGTGTTGGGCTTCTGTTTCCAACCCTTCTGCGTTGGGTTCTCGTCTTGAATAGAACACTGTGGTCGCATCCTCCTTCCTCCCGCCTCCCTCTCCCCTTCTCTTCTGCCTCTCACCTCGCTCTCTCCTGCGTGCTAGCTTGCCTCCTACCTGGCCATCCCTGGGGGGCTGCGATCTGCGAAATTGTCGCGACTTTCGAGGGTTGCTGGGGGGGACCAACGGAGTGGGGCCCCACGCAGATTCAGATTCGACCTCGCCATCCCTGGGGGGCTGCGAAATGCGAAACTATCGCCACTGTCGAGGGCTGCTGGGGGGGCCCTGGGGGGGCCAACGGAATGGGGCCCCACGCAGACTCAGCGTAGACCTTGTCATAAATGGGGGGGGGGGGGGGGGCGATCTGCGAAACTACTGTCGCCACTTTCGAAGGCTGTGTGGGGGTGGGCCAGCGGAGTGGGGTCCCACGCAAATTCAGATTAGACCTCGTCATCCCTGGGGCTGCGATCTGCGAAACTTTCGCCATTTTCGAGGGGGGAGGTCCACCGGAGTGAGTCCTTTGCAAATTCACATTCGACCTCGTCATCCATGGGGGCCTGCGATCTGCGAAATTGTCGCCACTTTCGAAAGCTGCTGGGGGGGGACCAACGGAGTGGGGCCACAGATTCAGACTCGACCTCGCCATCCCTGGGGGGTTGCGATATGCGAAACTGTCGCCACTGTCGGGGGCTGCTGGGGGGGGCCAGCGGAGTGGGGTCCAACGCTGATTCAGATTACACCTCGTCGTCCCTGGGGGGCCGCGATCTGCGAAGCTGTCGCCACTTTCGAGGGTTGCTGGGGGGTCCAGCGGAGTAACGTCCTACGCGGATTTACTCTCGACCTCGCCATCCCTGGGGGGCTGCGATCTGCGAAACTGCCGCCACTTTCGAGAGTTGCTGGCGGTCCAGCTACCAGCGGAACGACATTTTACGCGGACTCAAATTAGACCTCGCCGCCCCTGGGGGGCTGCGATCTGCGAAACTGGCGCCACTTTCGACGGCTGCTGGGGGGCCCAGCGGAGTGAGGCACCACCCAGAGTCAGATGAGACCAGACCTCGCTCGCCATCCCTGGGGGGCTGCGATCTGCGAAAGTGTCGCCACTTTCGAGGGCCGCTGGGGGGTCAACGGGGTGAAGCACCACCCAGACTCAGATTAGACCTCGCCATCCCCGGGGGTGCTGCGATCTGCGAAACTGTTCCCACGTTCGAGAGTTGCTGGGGGGTCCTTCGGGGCGCTGTCGCGGGCCGCCCACAGACCTGGCGGCGCGCCTTTGGGTTTTTAGCCCCCGCACTTAAAGTGCAGGAAGGATGCAGGGAAGCTGGCGGGCGAGCTAGCGCTCGTTTCTTGCAATCCGCCGGCCCCCCTGCGGGGCCACCAGGCTGTAGGCCGGGAGTGTACTGCTCCCTGTACCAGTTGCTGCTTCCAGTTTCCACTGTTACAGTTCTGCTTCTTGCTGCTTACTGTTCCTTGTTGATGAACGCGCGAGGGGGGAGCCCAAACCAGCAGAACTACCACGCCCTGGGAGGGTTCTCTAAATTTCTGGGGGGTAATCACGCAGATCCGCAGGGTCAGGGTCCAAAAGCACACCGGATTTGCCACATTTCTAAAATCCGGAGGCACCCCTCACGCAGATCCGTAGGGTCAGGGTCCGAAAACGCATGGGATTTGCCACATTTCTGAAATTCGGTGGCACCCCTCACGCAGATCTGTGGGTCAGGGTCCACAAACACACGTGACTTGCCACATTTCTTAAATTCGGTGGCACCCCTCACGCAGATCCGTAGGGTCACGGTCGAAAAACACACCGGATTTGCCACATGTCTACAATCCGGTGGCACCCCTCACGCAAACCAAAAACAAATGGATTTGCCACATTTCTGAAATTCGGTGGCACCCCTCACGCAGAACCGTAGGGTCAGGGTCCAAAAACAAATAGGAGTTGCCACAGTTCTGAAATTCGGTGGCACCACTCACGCAAATCTGTCGGGTCAGGGTCTAAAAAACGCATGGGATTTGCCACATTTCTAACAGTCGGTGGCACCCCTCACGCAGATCAGGAGGGTCAGGGTCCAAAACCGCATGGGAGTTGCCACATTTCTGAAATCCAGTGGCACCCCTCACGCAGATCCGTAGGGTCAGGGTCCAAAAACGCATGGGATTTGCCACATTTCAACATGATCGACCCACGAACCCGGAAAGGAATATAGAACTGTAACACATGGCAGCGTTTTCAAAGACACCTGATTGGGTGACGGGCAAATGCAATGCTGAGTGTATCGATCTTGATGTACCCTGCCAGGGGCTGTGCTGTGCTGCGCCGTGCTGAATTGCGATGTGCCATGCCGCGGTTGTGCTCTATAGCGTCGTGGATCGAGTCCTCCTTTGCATCCGAGTCCTGACCGAACTGATCTGGATCTTAAGCTCGAGCTGCCTGAACACATAGTAGCTGCCCCAGAGCTAATGGACAGGGGAACATGCCAGGAGGACGCGCCGCGAAACGTCCCAAGGGATGCGCCAGGCGACGTGCCAGGGGACGCGCCATGGGGTCGCACCGTAGGACGTGCCAAAGGGACGCGCTACGGAACGTGCCAATGGATGTGCCACGGAATGTGCCAGGGGACGCGCCACGCGACGTGCCAGGGGGACTCGCCAAGGGACGCCCCACGGAAGGGTGCCAAGGAACGTGCCAAGTTGCAATGCTGAGTGTATCGATCTTGATGTACCCTGCCGGGGGCTGTGCTGTGCTGCGCCGTGCTGAATTGCGATGTGCCATGCCGCGGTTGTGCTCTATAGCGTCGTGGATCGAGTCCTCCTTTGCATCCGAGTCCTGACCGAACTGATCTGGATCTTAAGCTCGAGCTGCCTGAACACATAGTAGCTGCCCCAGAGCTAATTGACAAGGGGAACATGCCAGGAGGACGCGCCGCGAAACGTCCCAAGGGATGCGCCAGGCGACGTGCCAGGGGACGTGCCATGGGGTCGCACCGCGGGACGTGCCAAGGGGACGCGCTACTGAACGTGCTGGGGACAAGCGTTTCGCTCGAGACATCCTATCAAAATCATCCGAATTCCTACGCGCGGGACGCGGCACGCGCGAGACATCCTCGGAATTCCTGCGAGCGGGACACGAAAACAAGCGTTTCGCCTGAGACATCCTCTGAATTCTGGCCCCCCACGAAGCCCCCGCTCGAGACATCCCCCGATTTTGCAAAACCAGCGTTTCGCTCGAGACATCCTCAACAAATTATGAAAAACAAGCGTTTCGCTCGAGAAATCCTGTCAAAACCCCAAGAAATCAAAATTCCTGCGCGCGGGGCGCGGCACGCGCGAGACATCCTCGGAATTCCTGCGCGAGGAGCGCTTTTCCGTGTCGCGGTCGGCTCTGCAAAACCAGCGTTTCGCTCGAGACATTCTCAACAAATTCTGAAACCAAGCGTTTCGCTCGAGACATCCCCAACTCTGCAAAACCAGCGTTTCGCTCGAGACATCCTCAACAAATTCTGAAAAACAAGCGTTTCGCTCGAGACATCCTCAAAAATAATTCCGCCGGCCCTCTTCCTGCACGTAATTTATCGCAGAATAATTTCGCCGGCCCTCTTCCCGTCGATTCCGAGGGTAAACCCACTAAACATGATGGACCCACGAACCCGGAAAGGGATATAGACATGTGCAGCATGGTCACGTTTTCACGATATCCAACTGGGCGACACCTCACGAAACATCCCACGAGACACCCCGCGAAACATCCCAGGAGACACCTCACGAAACAACCCACGAGACACCTCACAAAACATTCCACGAGACACCCCGTGAAACATTCCACGAGACACCCCACGAACAGGCAACCACTCAACCAGACACCCCACGAAACATTCCACGGGGGTGCGACTGGGTGTGGTCGTGCTGGGGTGTGGTCGTGCTGGAGTATGGTCGTGTTGGGGTGAGGTCGTGCTGGGGTGTGGTCGTGCTGGGGGGTGGTCGTGCTGGGGGGTGGTCGTGCTGGGGGGGTGGTCGTGCTAGGGGGTGGTCGTGCTGGGGCGTGGTCGTGCTGGGGCGTGGTCGTGCTGGGGCGTGGTCGTGCTGGGGTGTGGTCGTGCTGTGGTGAGGTCGTGCTGGGGTGTGGTCGTGCTGGGGTGTGGTCTTGCTGGGGGGGGGTCGTGCTGGGGTGTGGTCGTGCTGGGGTGTGGTCGTGCTGGGGTGTGGTCGTGCTGTGGTGGGGTCGTGCTGGGGTGGGGTCGTGCTGGGGTGTGGTCGTGCTGGGGTGTGGTCGTGCTGGGGTGTGGTCGGAGCTAGGGTGGGGTATGCTGGGGTGGGGTCGGAGCTGGGGGTGGTCGTGCTGGAGTGTGGTGTGCAGGGGAGTGGTCGTGCTTGGCGTGTCGTGCTGGGGTGGGTCGTGCTGGGGTGAGGGTCGTGCTGTGGAGTGTTCGTGCGGGGGTGGTCCGCACCC